CTCTCCTCTCTCTCTCTAGCTAGGCACACACTCACTCTCTCGCTCTCTCTTCCCTCTCTCTCTAGCTAGGCACACACTCACTCTCTCGCTCTCTCTTCCCTCTCTCTCTAGCTAGGCACACACTCACTCTCTCGCGCTCTCTCCCCTCTCTCTCTAGCTAGGCACACACTCACTCTCTCGCTCTCTCTCCTCTCTCTCTCTAGCTAGGCACACACTCACTCTCTCGCTCTCTTTTCCTTCTCTCTCTAGCTAGGCACACACTCGCACTCTCGCTCTCTCTTCCCTCCCTCTCTAGCTAAGCACACACTCACTCTCTCGCTCTCTCTTCCCTCTCTCTCTAGCTACGCACACACTCATTCTCTCACTCTCTCGCTCTCTCTTCCCTCTCTCTCTAGCTAGGCACACACTCGCACTCTCGCTCTCTCTTCCCTCTCTTTCTAGCTACGCACACACTCACTCTCTCGCTCTCTCTTTCCTCTCTTTCTAGCTACGCACACACTCATTCTCTCACTCTCTCTCTCTCTCTCCTCTCTCTCTCTAGCTAGGCACACACTCACTCTCTCGCTCTCTCTCTCCTCTCTTTCTAGCTAGGCACACACTCACTCTCTCGCTCTCTCTCTCCTCTCTTTCTAGCTAGGCACACACTCATTCTCTCGCTCTCTCTCCCTCTCTCTCTNTCCTCTCTTTCTATCTAGGCACACACTCATTCTCTCGCTCTCTCTATCCTCTCTCTCTAGCTAGGCACACACTCGCTCTCTCGCTCTCTATGTGGTTAATACAGCATTCAGTAAATCTTCCAGGTGCGACACAGACATGGACGCTAAGCTAAACCGAGAGGAATGGTGCAAATGCTTTGAGGAGGCGTGTAAGTAACAGCTGTGATGGTCAATCATGCGTATGCGTCACACGCTCACACGCGCACACATACACGCGCGCGCGAACACACGCGCACACACACACACACACGCACACACGCACACACACACACACACACGCACACGCACACACGCACACCACACACGCACACAC